AATTTGGTACCAAGAGTTATTTACTGTCAAAATGGATTTTCTTCTTCTTTAGTTCACGTTGTCTGATAACATTCAAAATTGTGCCCTGGTCTAATCACAGAAATCATGAAAGCAACAGAATTCTTTCTGCTGGTAGCCCAAGATAGGGGACATTTTGCTTGAGAAACACTGTCAGAAGTGAAAGATGAAGATGTGTAAAGCTTTCCCTCTCATTCGTGCTACGAAATATAGGGAAACAGTCCCTGTTTATCTGGGGCAGTCTACACAAAGATGCCTCCTATTGTAACACAGCAATGAGTCAGAAGTAGATGCAGATGGTACAAAAAACTAAACTAGGGAGAGGTGATTGTCCAGAAGCAAAGGTACCTTAACACACAATCCACCACCATGAATGAAAATCACCTTCCGGTTTCCTTCAGTCCAACACTTAGGCAGTAACAAAGGCACTAGCAGCCAACAGCTTTCGAAGGTTTACTATGTACTACCTCATTTAATCTTCACAACTATGCTAAGTAGATTCTATTAGCCCCATTTTTGCAGATGAAAAAACTAAACCTAAGCCTTAGACTAAAAGACTTGAAGCAGGTCACAAAACCACAACAGAGGCCAGGCTGTAATCCCAAAACTTTGGGAGGCTGAGGTGGGAGGATCACCAGGTTAGGAGTTTGAGACCAGCCTGAGCAACATGGTAAAATCCTGTCTCTATTAAAATACAAAAATTAGCAGGGTGGGGTGGCGCGTGCCTGCAGTCCCAGTTACTCAGGAGGCTGAAACAGGAGAATTGCTTGAACCCAGGAGGTGGAGGTTGCGGTGAGCCAAGATCGCACCACTGCACTCTGGCCTGGGTAACAGAGAGAGACTCTGTCAAAAAAACAAAACAAAACAAAACAAAAAAAAAACCCACAACAGAGCTAGGCTTCAAACTTAGCCTGACTCCAGAGCCCCTACCTTTTAACCACTGTTTAGACTCTCCCAGTCCCATCCAAATTTTTCTGCCACCAAATCTGGGGTAGTTTCTTCTCATCCTGCTTTTACTGTTTTAATGAAATCCCTCTTCCTTGAGAGAATACAGTTGTGGTGTCACAGTTACAACAGAATAACAGGTACTTCTACTCAGTATCCACTTCCAATCAAATAGGAAAGGATAATCAGGCCACAACATTCAGCCAGAATCCACTGTGGTCAAAACTTGTCCTAACAACAGTCAGGACTTTCAGTCTATTTTAAGAGGGTGAAACACTGTACACTAAAACTGAACAAATGGGCCGGGCGCGGTGGCTCACGCCTGTAATCCAGCACTTTCGGAGGCCGAGGCAGGCAGATCACCTGAGGCTGGGAGTTTGCCACCAGCCTGAATGACCTGGAGAAATCCAGTCTCTACTAAAAATACTAAAAATACAAAATGAGCCGGGCGTGGTGGCTACTCAGGAGGCTGAGGCAGGATAATCGCTTGAACCTGGGAGGCGAAGGTTGCAGTGAGCTGAGATCGCACCACTGCACTCCAGCCTGGGCAACAAGAGTGAAACTCCGACTCAAAAAAAAAAAAAAATGTTTGCAATGCAATAATGCAATCCAACTACCTATACAAGTCAGTATCATGCAAAATAGACCCCACAGGATTGACAGGGGACTAAGGAAGAGAGTCGGCTGGGAGCAGGTCTGAAGAACACAGTTGAACACACACCATCGGTCCACCATCGACCTTGTGATCATTACAGGGATGGAACAAGTCATCAAGCCAACAGGTCCCCAGATTATTAAAATCTAGAGAAAGCTGGCTGGGCAGAGTGGCTCATGCCTGTAATCCCGCACTTTGGGAGGATCGCTAGAGCCCAGGAGTTCAAGACCAGCCTAAGCAATATAGCAAGACCCTATCTGTATAAAATTTTAAAAAATAAAATTTTCTAAAAATCTAGAGAAAGGAAGGGAGGTTACAGAAATCACCAAAGAGCAGAAGGTCCAAGCCTACCCTGATTTCATCAGTTAGCTTCCTAAAGCCTGCAGTGTGCAGGTAAAAAGAGATTAAGAACCTAATCTTTACTGAAGGTTGGGCAAACAACAACTAAAAAAAGGCAAATAATAATAATAATAACCTAATCTTTTCTGGCTATTTCTCTAGCTAGCCAAGCAGCTTTCCCTCACAGAGTCTTGTACCTTACCTAGAACCCAAGAGAGTTGTGGGAACTCAGAAACCCCCAGGAAACAGCCTCAAGATTATTTCATGAAATAAAGTGCTCGTTTGTGAGCAACGCTGGAAGCTGCAGAGATGGAGCACCTAGCATGTGGTTTCTAGGTCACGGTGTTCATGCCTCAGGTCAGGAGTTTAGGGGCTCCTAGTCAAGTACGGAAAGCTAGGAAATCATTAGTGAGAAAATGGTTTGTTCAATGAATGAATGAATGAATGAAGAGTCGGATGAAAAAGAAAGCCGCTTTCTTGAGCAATTTCCCAGGAAAGCCAAGGACCGGGAACCTCCAAAGTCGGCAAGGAAAAGCCACGAAGTCCACACGGACTTCCAGCACGCCCCCGCTGGCCAGGCAGTTGACCTGCAACAAGGCACTCAGACCCCACAGGTGTCAGGCATGAAGGTGAGGATGATGCTCCACACTTAATACCCTGAGCCGGTCTCAAAAGCACGGATGCGATCTTAATTCTTTCCAAAACAGTAGCCTCCTCTCCCCATTACAGGCCAGACTCCCAGAGGATCACATTTAGAACAGAGCTGGGGGGAGGCAGGGAAGACGTGCTAGCTTTTATTTTCTTGGGAGAAGACTGCACAGTGGCCAGGAACCACTGAAACGGTCGGGAAAAGGGGTGCAGAGGGGAATCGAGAACCGCGGGATCCGCTAACTGGTCTGAGTCAGAAGCACAATCAGTGCTTAGTCACCGATACCTCGGCGGCCGGGAGTTCCTCGCCCCCTGCCAGTCCCAGACGTACGTGACAAACCAGAGCGGAGCCTGGCGCGCGCTCCTGCTCCCCGGCCCGGGCCTCCCCAGCCGGGCCCCGAGGTTCACCGCCCGCCCCATACTTACTCCGCAGAGCTGGTCCCGTTAACCGCGGAGCCGTCGGGGGCCGGGTTCAGCTGGATGGGCGTCGGCTTCTTCTTGGGCATTTTGGACCTGGGAAAGGCGCTTCCAACTCCGGGGGGAGGGCAGCACCTCTCGCTTCCTCCCACTGCGCTGCCCCGCGCCCGCTGCGCAGGACCAGGTCCGGGCCGCTAACCCCGGAGCTGCCCTCAGAGGGTGCGCCCCGCGCGGTCCCGTCAGCGCCGAGGGGCCGGTAGCGGTCTCAGTGGACCCCCGCCCCACCCGCCCGGGACTCGGCTCCGCGCGCAGAGAGCCGAACGGCTGCCCTGCAGGAGCGGAGCGGGCTGAATGTGCGATTCGGCAGCCCGGGATTCCCTCCCGCTCTCCCAACCAACCAGTCCCTCCGGCTCAGGCGGCCCAGCCGCGCGTGCACCAGAGCCCAGCTCCAGCTCCTGCGAGAGAAAGTGCCGCCACCGCCGCCGTGCTCCTAGCAGCTTGGCGAAGCGGCCCTGGGAGGGACTGGAGGCCGGGGGAGGGGCGGGGAAGGGGAAGCCTCGCCCCCCACCCGGGATGCGGCGCTTTCCACACTCCCACTCGGCTCCGCCCCTATTGCCTCGCAGACAACCAATGGGGGCAAGCCTCGGCGGCAGATGACGCGGAAATACGTCACGGGAGCGGGGGCGCGCTGCCCTGGGGGCGGGTTCCGTTGCGGGCTCCACGGCGCCCTCTATCGCCCCAAGGCTCGCAGGTGGACCCAGCAGGGAAGAGGTCTATGTCGCTGCGTGGTGAGCTCCTCCAGGCCAGGTGCTGCGCGGCCTCCACCTCTGCGGTAACTGGCCTGCCCCCGACCCCTGTCCCCAAGCCGAGTCGTGTTGATGGAAATGAAATAACAAAATAAATAAGGAAAAGGAACCTTTCCTGTGTTCAGAGGAGAGGCAGCGTGGGGGGATAGGAAACTTGTCGAGAGACTCCTTTGAGCCCAACAAACTGTCACATATATATTTTGTTTGTTTGTTTGTTTAATGGTAATACTACTGAGAAGGGTGCAAGGAAGTGGATACTTAGTGCTGATGAGATTGTATATTGTTGCAACAGTTTTTGAGAGCAGATTGATTTTTTTTTTTTTTTAGACTTGGGAACTTTTTTTTTTTTTTTTTAAGACGGAGTATCCCTCAGTCGCCCAGGCTGGCATGTAGTGGCGCGATCTCGGCTCACTACAACCTCCGTCTCCCAGGTTCAAGCGATTCTCCTGCCTCAGCCTCCAGAGTAGCTGGGATTACAGGCACCTGCCGTCATGCCCGGCTACTTTTTGTATTTTTGTAGAGACGGGTTTTCACCATATTGGCATATTTTTTAAAGCTTTAAAAACACTGTTTCGGGCCAGGAGCAGTGGCTTACGCCTGTAGTCTCAATTTTGGGAGGCCCAGGCAAGAGGATCACTTGAGCCCAGGAGTTCGAGACCAGCCTGGGCAACATAGTGAGACTCTCATCTCTATTAGCTGGGCATGGTTGTGTGCAGCTGTAGTCCAAGCTACTGAGGAGGCTGAGGCTGGAGGATCACTTGAGCCCGGGAGTTTGAGGCTGCAGTGAGCTATGATCACACCACTGCACACCAGCCGGGGCTACAGAGCAAGACTTCCTATGAAAAACTTTCATCCAGGTCGGGCGCAGTGGCTCGCGCCTGTAATTCCAGAACTTTGGGAGGCCGAGGCGGGTGGATCCACGAAGTCAGGAGTTCAAGACCAGCCTGACCAAAATGGTGAAACCCCGTCTCTACTAAAAATACAAAAAAGTAGCTGGGCGTGGTGGTGGGCGCCTGTAATCCCAACTACTTGGGAGGCTGAGGCAGACAATTGCTTGAACCTGGGAGGCGGAGGTTGCAGTGATCCAAGATCACACCACTGCACTCCAGCGTGGGCGACAGAGTGAGGTTCTGTCTCAAAAAAAAAAAACACAAAACAAAACAAAAAAACTTTAATCCAAAAATTCCTGTTCTGTGAATTACTAAAGAAATAAAATGTGAATAAAGAACTTAATAAAATAAGAGGTACAATACCCATTCCGAAGTGCACATTCAGTGTTCCTCTTCCCCTTTTCCATCCTAAAATATTCAGGGCCAAAGACATTAGGTGTACAGAACAAAGGAACATCTACACCTGGTTGTCCACAGCCAAGTGTCAGTGACCTACCAGGTAAGGAAGCTGAGGAACCTGAGAAGGTAAAGAGGGCTTGAACACCTGGGAGGCAGCCCTACACAAAGTCTTAGCCCTAGAGCCCAAGACCAGAGAACAAGGCATCCAAGTGGGAAAGGCCTAGAAGCTTAGATGGGAGGTTAGTTGCATTCAGGATGATTGATTAAGTCACTAAATGTACTAAACGTGACAGAGCCAGCTTTCTCACTGTGGTAGAATGAAGTTAGAAGTATGGGAAGGGAGGCCGGGCGCGGTGGCTTAAGCCTGTAATCCCAGCACTTTGGGAGGCCGAGGCGGGTGGATCACGAGGTCAGGAGATCGAGACTATCCTGGCTGACATGGTGAAACCCCGTCTCTACTAAAAAATACAAAAAACTAGCCGGGCGTGGTGGCGGGCGCCTGTAGTCTCAGCTACTTGGGAGGCTGAGGCGGGAGAATGGCGTGAACCCGGGAGGCGGAGCTTGCAGTGAGCCGAGATCACGCCACTGCACTCCAGCCTGGGAGACACAGCGAGACTCCGTCTCAAAAAAAAAAAAAAAAAAAGAAGTATGGGAAGGGAGAATACCCTATGCTATTGTATTGGAATTGGAGGTATCAGTGTGAACTCATAGTTAGTTTTGTTTTGTTTTTTGGGTTTTTGGTTTTTTTTTTTTTTAAGTGGAGTTTCGCTCTTTTTGCCCAGGCTGGAGTGCAATGGCGTGACCTTGGCTCATTGCAACCTCCGCATCCCGAGTTCAAGTGATTCTCCTACCTCAGCCTCCCAAGTAGCTGGGATTACAGGCATGAACCACCACGCCCAGCTAATTTTGTATTTTTAGTAGAGACGGGGTTTCACCATGTTGGCCAGGCTGGTTTCAAAACTCCTGACCTCAGGTGATCCGCCCACCTTGGCCTCCCAAAATGCTGGGTTTACAGGCATGAGCCACTGCACCCGGCCTGAACTCATAGTTTTTTAAAAAATAAATTATACTGGGATGGATGATGCAGTGGTCGCTACCACCTGTAATCCCAGCACTTTGTGAGGCAGAAGCTGGAAGATCACTTGAGGTCAGGAGTTCTAGACCAGCCTGGCCAACATGGTGAAACACTGTCTCTTCTAAATTACAAAAATCAGCCGGGAATGGTGGTGGGCACCTGTAATCCCAGCTACTCAGGAGGCTGAGGCAGGATAATTGCCTGAACCGGGGAGGCGGAGGTTGCAGTGAGCTGAGATCATACCACTGCACTCTAGCCTGGGCAACAGAGCGAGCAAGACTCTGTCTCAGAAATAAATAAAATAAATAAAAATAAATTTCATTGTGTGTATTTGCGGTTTATAACATGATGTTATGGGATATATATAGATAGTAAAATGGTTACTATAGTGAAATGAATTAACATATCTCTACTGTCACATAAAGGCTTGTGTAAAGTATGACAAGAGCAGCTAAAATCTACTTATTTAACAAAAAACTCAGATACAATACAACGTTAGGAACTATGGTCTTCATGTTGTGCATTAGACCTCTAGACTTCTTCATCCTACGTATCTGCTGGTTTGTATTCTTTGACCTACATCTCCCCATTTCTTTTTCCCATAGTTTTTAATATAGAGGCATAGATGTAAATGTATGCATGTGTGTATAGAAGTGATTGTATCCTTATTCATGTTAAACATGCATAATTTTTAGTATCAGAGTAAAATAATAAACATTAAAAAGTTAATTGAAGGTCGGGCATGGTGGTGGCTGACACCTGTAATCCCAGCACTTTGGGAGACCGAGATGGGAGGATTACCTGAGGTCAGGAGTTCGAGACCAGCCTGGCCAACATGGTGAAACCCTGTCTTTATTAAAAATACAAAAAGTATCTGAGCGTGGTGGTGGGTGCCTGTAGTCTTAGCTACTTGGGACACTGAAGCTAGAGAATCACTGGAACCAGGAGGTGGAGGTTGCAGTGAGCCAAGATCACTCTACTGCACTCCAGCCTGTGCAACACAGTGAGACTCTGTCTCAAAAAAAAAAAAAAATCGAAACTTTTCAAAACAATGTATTATCAAGGCACTCTATCTGAATTCTGGTATAATTTTATATTTACTAGTTCAAATAAAAACGAATAGGACTTTGAGCAATTAATTGGAATTTTCAAGGCCTCACTTCCACTCTGTGAAAAACGGAGCATTCTTTTTAATATTGAAATATTATGATTCTACGCATGCTGGGTTGGCCTCTACTGAGTAAACCCTAAGCCCTTATCATGGTCCAAGAAGCCCAGATAAACACTTACCCCTGGTTGAAGTTTGCAGAATAGTTCAAGGTAGGAGAATTTGTTTTCCTCATTTCCTTTTCAGACCGGCAGTGATCCATCGGTTCTGTCAGCTTTTCCTGAGGGCCTAACATAAGTGCTGACCATACAGACAAGAATACGACTGAACTAAATGTATATGAATCAGTGACCACCATGTATAATAATAACTGTTACATATTTGGTCGAACCATATCAGGTTGCTCTATTTGTAGGTCAAAAATGTTCGAATATTGGCAAATACTGGTTCATCCCATTTGTACACAGTGTAGTTAGATCACAAACGTGAAGATCCAAGAAATATAGGCCAGGTGTGATGGCTCACTCCTGTAATCCCAGCACTGTGGGAGGCTGAGGCAGGTGGATGAGTTGAGTCCAGGAGTTCAGTACTAGCCTGGGCAATGTGACGAAACCCCATCTCTACAAAAAATACAAAAATTAGCCAGGCATGGTGGCACGTGCCTGCAGTCCCAGCTATTCTGGAGGCTGAGATGGGAAGATCGCTTGAACCGAAGTCGAGACTGCAGTGAGCCATGATCTTACACCCCCAACCTGGAAAACACAGAAAAAGAAATACAAGGACAACCACTGATGAAAACATACCATGAATTGAGTACATTCAACTCAGACCTCTATATCTTAGGTTCAAAAATCAAACAAAACAAAAAAACCTGAACTTAAGAGAGAAAGACCTGAGATTAATTCCAGTTCTGCCCTTGGCTGATTACTTACCCTTTCTGAGCATCAGTTAATTTACCTATAAAATGAGAATTATACTATCTACGACTGCACTAAATGGTTATGAGCATTAAATGAAATTGTGAAAGAATAGTGTCTAACACACAGGAGCTAAATAAATGGTGATGGTGAGAGGTTTTCATCATGTAAACATAATCTGCTGGAAGAAGAATAGTTTTGTTTTGTATTGTTTTGTTTTTGAGACGGAGTTTTGCTCATCGCCCAGCTGGAGTATAGTGGTGCAATCTCGGCTCACTGCAACCTCTACCTCCCAGGTTCAAGCAATTCTCCTGCCTCAGCCTCCTGAGTAGCTGGGATTACAGGCACCTGCCACCACACTCAGTTAATTTTTTGTATTTTTAGTAGAGACAGAGTTTCGCCATGTTGGGCAGGCTGGTCTCGAACTCCTGACCTCAGGTGATCCACCCGCCTCGGCCTCCCAAAGTGCTGGGATTACAGGTGTGAGCCACAACACCCGGCCGAAGGAGAATAATTTATAGAGGCTTTCCAGAAATTTTCCTTCAGAAATATTCACACACTTTGATTCAGTAATTCTACTTCCATGACTCTCTTTTAAAGAAATTATGAAAGCTATACAGAAGAATGATCAACATAGTATTATTTAAATAGGTAACATCTGAAATTACTTAAATATTCAACAGAAGGGAAATGATTACATCATTTACGACACACCCATATGATGAAATACTGGACAAGAAAAGACTTTCATTTCTAGAAATTTCAAACAGTAGGAATTAATATTTTTTAATAGTACTTCCAGAAAAACCTAGGATGTCTATTCCTTTTTTTTACTTTTTCCAGATGGAGTCTTGCTCTGTCACCCAGGCTGGAGTACAATGGCGCAATTGGGGCTCACTGCAACCTATGCCTCCCAGGTTCAAGCGATTTACCTGCTTCAGCCTCCTGAGTAGCTGGGATTACAGGCACCCACCACCAGGCCCAGCTAATTTTTGTATTTTTAGTACAGATGGGGTTTCACCATGTTGGTCGGGCTAGTCTCGAACTCCTGACCTCAGGTGATCCACCCACCTCGCCCTCCCAAAGTGCTCAGATTACAGACATGAGCCACTGCACCTGGCCCAGATCTCTGTTGTTTTATCATAAACAGAAAAAAGTAACCTCTATATCAACACTCAAAGACAAATGAAAGTAGAGTGAGATAGCATTGGACACCACTATTTTTGGTAAAAACCAATAGAACATATAGATATCTGGGAAATGGCTGGGACTTTCAATGTCATGGAGTATTTAGTTAAGGAAATAGGGACAACTACCTGGCCATTTGGAAAAGAAATGGAGGTGTATCCCTACTTTTTAATTCTATAATAAATTCCAGGTGCATTGAAGATGCAATCAAGGCCAGGCACAGGGGCTCATGCCTGTGATTCCAGCATTTTGGGAGGCAGAGGCAGGACAATTGCTTGAGGCCAGGAGTTTGAGAACAGCCTGAGCAATATGGGAAGACTCCACCTCTACGAAAAAATTAACTTTGGGCACGGTGGCTCATACCTGTAACCTAACACTTTGGGAGACCAAGACAGGAGGATTGCCTGAGGCCAGGAGTTTAAAACCAGCCTAGTCAACATAGTGAGACCCCCATTTCTAAGAAAATATTTTTAATAAAATTTTAAAAAGATAAACTTAGCCGAGCATGGTGGCACATCCCTACAGTCCCAGCTACCTGAGAGACTGAGGTGGGAAGATTACTTAGGCCCAGGAGGTCAAGGTTAGAGTGAGTCCTGATCAAACTACTGCACTCCAGCCTGGACAATAGAGTGAGACTCTGTCTCAAAAAAAAAAAAAGGAAGAAAAGAATAAAGAAAGAAAGATGAAATCATAGAAGTACTGCTAGAGAAGCTAGAGAAGATCATGGGAAAATTATTTTTTAAATTTTGGAATGAGAAAAACATTTGAAGAAAGACACAAACCATCAAAACCATAAAGGCAAAGATTAATAA